AGTTGGGATTACAGGCATGCACAGCAGCATCTGGCTCCTTTTTATTCTTTTGAGATAAAGTCTCAACAAGTTGCTGGGTGCAGTGGCATACATCTGTAATCCCAGCAGCTCAGGAAACTGAGGCAGGAGGATCACAAGTTCAAAGCCAGCCTCAGCAACAGTGAGGTGCTAAGCAACTCAGTGAGACCCTGTGTTTCAGTGACCAAGTGCCCTTGAGTTCAGTCCCTAGTACCCGCTCCCCGACCAAAAAAAAAAAAGTCTCAACAAGTTGCTGAGGACCTCACTGAGTTGCTGAGTCTGGCCTCAAACTTGTGATCCTCCTGCCTCAAATTCCTGAATTGCTGGAATTACAGGCATGTGTTATTGTGCCTGGTTTAGGCTCTCTGGCCTTTGGATTTACACCAGTGGTCCCAGGTTCTTTGGCTTCTGGCCTTGGACTGAGAGTTACGCCATTAGCTTACCTGGTTCTGAGGCCTCCAACTTGGCTTGAGCCATGCTGCCTGGGTCCAGCTTGCAGATAGAGGGTCTGTCATGGGACTTCTCAGCAGCCATAACTGCACAGCCAATTCCCCTAATAAGCCCTTCTCACATATCTATGTAAATATCATATTGGGTCTATCTCTCCTTCATACAGGTTCTTCCTGTTTTCTTTCAATGTTGTCCCTGGCAGGTCATCCTGGAATTCCTGTCCCTTCTTCCCCAGAGGTGGCAGTGGCAGTTCCCAATCTCTTGCTCTCATCACCTTAAGACAAATGCAGAATCCTCCGCATGGCCACCAGATCCCCTATAACCTGATCCTTGAGCCCCCATAGAGATTTTAAATAGCAAAACACCAAAGAATATTACAAATAATTATATATTAGTAAATATAAAAACTTAAGCAAAGTAAATGTTTATAGAAAAATGAGAAATGCCCAAATTGGCATAATATAACAAACTTTCATAGAACCATAATCAGTAAAGAAAATCACATGTAAGACTCCAGTGTACAGGAGCCCCAACAGACACTCTTAGAGGGACTTCCACCAGAAGAACACAGGACAGATGACCT